CGGGGCCCTGGGGCGGGGGCCTTGTCCCGGGGCCCTGGGGCGGGGGCCTTGTCCCGGGGCCCTGGGGCGGGGGCCTTGTCCCGGGGCCCTGGGGCGGGGGCCTTGTCCCGGGGCCCTGGGGCGGGGGCCTTGTCCCGGGGCCCTGGGGCGGGGGCCTTGTCCCGGGGCCCTGGGGCGGGGGCCTTGTCCCGGGGCCCTGGGGCGGGGGCCTTGTCCCGGGGCCCTGGGGCGGGGGCCTTGTCCCGGGGCCCTGGGGCGGGGGCCTTGTCCCGGGGCCCTGGGGCGGGGGCCTTGTCCCGGGGCCCTGGGGCGGGGGCCTTGTCCCGGGGCCCTGGGGCGGGGGCCTTGTCCCGGGGCCCTGGGGCGGGGGCCTTGTCCCGGGGCCCTGGGGCGGGGGCCTTGTCCCGGGGCCCTGGGGCGGGGGCCTTGTCCCGGGGCCCTGGGGCGGGGGCCTTGTCCCGGGGCCCTGGGGCGGGGGCCTTGTCCCGGGGCCCTGGGGCGGGGGCCTTGTCCCGGGGCCCTGGGGCGGGGGCCTTGTCCCGGGGCCCTGGGGCGGGGGCCTTGTCCCGGGGCCCTGGGGCGGGGGCCTTGTCCCGGGGCCCTGGGGCGGGGGCCTTGTCCCGGGGCCCTGGGGCGGGGGCCTTGTCCCGGGGCCCTGGGGCGGGGGCCTTGTCCCGGGGCCCTGGGGCGGGGGCCTTGTCCCGGGGCCCTGGGGCGGGGGCCTTGTCCCGGGGCCCTGGGGCGGGGGCCTTGTCCCGGGGCCCTGGGGCGGGGGCCTTGTCCCGGGGCCCTGGGGCGGGGGCCTTGTCCCGGGGCCCTGGGGCGGGGGCCTTGTCCCGGGGCCCTGGGGCGGGGGCCTTGTCCCGGGGCCCTGGGGCGGGGGCCTTGTCCCGGGGCCCTGGGGCGGGGGCCTTGTCCCGGGGCCCTGGGGCGGGGGCCTTGTCCCGGGGCCCTGGGGCGGGGGCCTTGTCCCGGGGCCCTGGGGCGGGGGCCTTGTCCCGGGGCCCTGGGGCGGGGGCCTTGTCCCGGGGTCCGGGCGGTGGTGTCCCCTCTGGGCCGGTCCGAGAACGGGGCGAGGCGGGACAGAGAAGGGGCTGAGGGCAGAGTCCTGTGGCGGCCCCTCAGAGCCGCCGTGGGAAGCAGGGACTGGAGGTGGTGTTCAGGAGGGGCCCCGTCTCGAAACCATTAAGTCTAGACTTTATTGAACCCCTAAACTCGTGGGGTTCCCGCTTTAAAAACAGCGATGTCTGCCCTTCCTGCTCTGTTGCTGTTCGGGCCAAAAATGCTAACGGTGCACCTAAATGTTTTTCATATCCCTATTTTCACATCCTTGGGTTCTTGTGGTGTTGCTGATCAAAAGTGGCTCTTTTCCCTCTTTTTTTTTAAAAAAAGGAGTCAATTCTCTAAATTTTCAACTTTAATTTTGCTAGTATATGCTGGCCAGTCACAAATCCTTTCTTTTGCATAATCCCTTTGTTGCTTTCATACAACTAGTCTTTACTTGAATTTATACCAGTTTAAGTTCCAGTTAATCTTGGAGATTTCTGTTTGGGCAAGGCACTACTTCAGAAACCATAATTTGGAAAAAAAAAGAAAGCAGGTGGTTTTGTCCCTGATGTTTAGGACATTGAGCGTGCCATACGTTTTTAATGAGCCCAAACAGATCATGGGTAATCTCTTGTATTGCTTTTACTGACCTGGGGTGCAAGTTTTTAAGACCTTTGTGGGAAGCTCTCTGTGTATCTCTGCTTATATTACATTTGCCTTCTTCAAGTTTCAGATGAATTCTCCAGGATTACTTACTGAAATGTAGATGACTTGCTCTTGAGGCTTATTCATGGGAGAAGGCTTTAAGTGGATTTATACTACAATAACTAGGAAAATATTTTTCAGAGTACAAGGTAGACCATGAAAAAAAACCCTTTAAATGTGCAAAATATTTATCAATGGTTAAAGCAAATAGAGCTTGCCTGATAGATAACAATGTATATTCTGTGGGTATAGGTTATGTTACCTTCCATCATCACTGATGGATGTGTGTACTCTGAAAAGATTGCTGTTGTACTAAAGAACATGTTAAAGGTAAATTTAGGGAATTTGTCCTGAAAGTTCACAAAGGATGGGTGGATGCTACCTATTGCCTTCAGGAATGATTTTTCATCCACTGGGCTCAAAAAGCCTGTTTCTTCTAGGAGGTAGATAGTAGAGAGATATTCCCACTAACTGTTTTCTTCATGGCTTTCCGTAATACCATGGGAATTACTAACAAAATCCACTCAAAGGTGGTTATTGGAGATGCTCATTAACAACTTAAATGTAAAAGAAGGCAAGTATGAACTGGAGTAGAGTTAGTCTGATCATTTGCAATTATTATTAATTACCTGGCATTTTTAATCAAATTCTGAAAGTTAGGACGTAAGATATTCACAAATTGGGTGGCACTGACATGCACCAGCACTTCAAGAATTATGTGGAAGAAATCCAGTCTCTGATTTGAGTGCTTTGAGCTGAGTTTCGATTTTTTTTTTTTAATTCCCTTTTGCTCATTTAACTTCCATTGACCATTTCACTCTCCTTCAGCACTGAATGTACTGGGAAAAAAAAGATGCAAAATATACCCATTTAGACTTCTGATTCATACGTTAACTCCAGTGCCTATTCCAAGCACTTCCATATGGTTATGCAGGTACTGCTGGTGCTGTGCAAGTTACTTGGTATGTGAATGCTGCCATAATGTAGGGGCATAAGGAGCTGCCACTGCCAGCAGTGATGGTATCAAACAGACTTTGTATTCCTCCTTGTAATAGCTCAGATTCTGTCCTTGCTTGCATTTTCCATAAGTATATACAGTTTAAGAGTATGTTGTTTATTTCTGTACTCTTTCTGTTTATTTTGGTACTCTTCTGACATTGGGGTTTTCAGTTAGGCTGCTGGTGTTGTTTTTGGCTTTTGGTAGCAAATGGAGGGGGAGGGAATTGACTTTAAGAAATCCTGTATACCCGTAGTCAAGGCTGATCTTTTCTATCCAGTTCACTGATGATTCCTTTAGCCTAATCAAAGCTTGCTGTCTTGAAATTAAGAACCTTAATAAATGACCAATTTACTGGTAAATGAATAACTGCTGGGTGTTTAGTTTAGCTGTTTCACCCTTCTTACTGTAAAGCTGTTCTCTGTAAGAAATGGAAGATGAGATTTCTAACACACCCTGTTTGAGGTGGCAGACAGAGTAAGGTCGATTGCAAGAACCCATCCTGACCTCTTGCCAGGAAGAAAGCATGAAACCCTTGACAAGACAGGCTGCAGGGGAAGGAGCTTTTTACATTGCTGTTAGCACAGCATGTACAGACCAACCAACATTTCACAGAACTACAGAATCATCTAGGTTGGAAAAGACCTTGAAGATCATCCAGTCTAACCCTTAACCTCACATTGACCGTTCCCAACTCCCCCAGATCCCTCAGTGCTGGGTCAGCCCAACTCTTCAACCCCTCCAGGGATGGGGACTCCCCCCTGCCCTGGGCAGCCCATTCCAATGCCTCACAACCCATTCTGTAAAGATTTAGTTGCGTTAAGTCTTCTTCAGGTTAAAAAAGTAAGGAGAAATCCTGCTTGAAATAAATGCCATTGTATTGCAGTTGCATCCTGGAAACTCGGTTGGGAAGTGTTGCTAAGTATTCTGCTGCATGACAAAAATGCCTTGCCATCAGATAGGGTATAATCTAAATGCTCAGTGGCAATGTTGCTTCCAAGTATTGTCCTACAACCTTGTCATTTACTTGCTTTTTTCCTTAACATGAAAAACATCTGTGTCAGAAACAGACCCTGGCAGTGACACAGTGTCCCCTACTAATTCTGTGTCAGGCTTGTTGACTGCTCAACAAACTAGACCCTTGAATGCATAAAATAAAATAACGAAGAATCATTACTGAAATTGTCATTAGAGTGTTATCTGGTACACATGCAGAAACGAAGAACCTAGGGCTTTGTTCGGAACATGCAAGCTAACAAAAAGGGCAAAACAAAATGTGACAGCTTTTTTCCTAATTGTCATGATTTTTGTCTAGGGTCATCAAGATGGCTGCTACCTCCCAGTTTGCCAGTCGATACAAAAAGGATTTGAGTACCGAAACGCTCAGAACAAAAGTTGCACGCAGAAAATCAATGCTTCAGAAGGAGAACAGACACAAGTTGTTTGAAAAGGGCAGGCAGTTTGGATTGGCAGATGTCAATGTTCAGCTCTCAAAAGAGAGGGGAATATCTCAACTCAGTGAGTCAAGTGAAATGTGCTCTCAAGAGAACAGTGTAAAACAGAGTAAGTAAAGACATAAAGTTTTTTTTAATTCTTAAAAATGTCTTTAAGTAGCTTTAACATTATCACAGGAACCTCATTGGAGTCAATGTTTTAATTTGAAGAAGAGGTTTAAGATTTAAAACCCAATGTTTACCAGTTCTAACTGTTAAGAAAATCAAGAAAAGTCTTAATACTGTTTTCTCCTCCTCACTGCCCCGGTGATATGATTGAGGCTTTGTTCTTATTTGTCTGCAGCAGCTAAAGGAAGAATGCATTTTGCTATTAATAGTCAATGGGAAGTCTCTTAGTGATTGTTTTGTCGTTGAAGTGAAAACCCCTGATCTAAAATCTTGTCTAACATATAACTGGTGTCTGTCATGTGCTCAAAGTATGCTTAGAAATGGGTAACTGTATATTGTAATTGGATATATATAATTATAAATGGGTTGATGCATAGTGTAAGTTTATTTTTAAAATTGCTGGGTTTTGACAACTTATCTTTCCTCTCGGAAAATGGGGCCTGGATATATTCTGAATTCTGTCTCCCTGGCTGTCCTGGATCCTTATAGTCTAGGGAACTAAGTTAATCTTTTAAAATGTTAACAGATTTCTTTAGAAGTGTTTTCACCTTAAGCATCTTGATAGCAGAATATTATTGGAGGAAGGAGTGCTGTCCCTATGTAATCATGTCAAATATGAAATTTAAGAATTTTTTTATCTGATTATATTCAATAAATTTAAACTTTAGGTAATAATTTTTCACATAGACATGTAATTCAAGTTTGTAATTATCTTATGGTTTTATACTTTCACATAGCTTCTGCCTGATTTTATTCTCAGCCTAGGGCAGCCTTTGGTATCTAAAGCTGACCTAAACTTCAGCTTTCAATGACATTTCAAGTGTCTGAATAGAAAAACTGGTAGAAATAAACTAAATAAGTAGTTAAACTGTTAACTTTAATACTAGTAACCTTGCAGGAACAGGCTGTACACTGCAAACCAGATATGAATTTACAGTTATTCCTCAGGTGCAGATTTAGGGAAATGCATTTGTAAGTTGAAATTTGCCACTGAATACGCTTTTAGTGAGAAGGACAAAAATAATTAAGAGCATCTAAGCTTTTAGCAAGCTAATAGATCACGGGTACTTGCACTGTAAGACTTTAATTGAAACTTGCAGACACAGATTCCAGACAGTCTGCTCTTTGACTTAGTATGTCCCTTTTCTAGCTTGGAGAAGGTTTTTTTAAATTTCCTGACTTGCTTATTATTGGCTCAAAAATATCTTCAAGATATTGTAACATGTCTGTCTTCCATCTTTGCTTCAGAACGACCTACAGATGCAGCCACCAAGAAGATTAATGAGCGCAAGGAAATGCTCCAGCGCTATAAAGAAGAAAAGGAGCTCCGAAAACTGAGAGAGCAGAGAGAGAAAGCAAAAAAGGGTGTGTTTAAAGTTGGGTTATATAGACCAACTGCACCTGGATTTCTTTCACTTGTACCTGAAGTTCCAGTGATAGTGAAGCCAAGAGAAAAGGTAATAAGAGTAATATTAAATGCCTAAATTAAATACATGCAGTACACTATATTAAAATTTCTATTTGCATACAAAATTGTTTGTTATGCCAAAGAAGCAGATTGTCTTGTAAATAATTTATAAATATTTTATAAGGAACAGTAATGGAATAATTTGTCTCATTTTTTTAAAACAAAGCGGGAAATAGTACTAGTGATATGTTGATTTTTGTATTTATAACTATGTTCTCAGTTCAAAAACTGGAATGATTAATCCACAAATGAAACTGCTAAGTGATTTTAGAACTGGTAACTTGTTCCTATTTAGTCCACTTGACCTTGAAAGTTTTTCAAATTACCCACTTGACCCATTTTGCCCTGGCGTGTTGCTTTTCACACTTAGGCTTCTTGCCCACTCTAAGAGTGACCAGGGAAAGGGAGTATGTTAACTCTTGTCTCCTTGGGGATGTTTCCAGACAGCTCCTGATTTCTCCGGGAGGATTACTCGATCAAAGGCCAAGAACCAAGAAGAAAAAACTGTGATAGCAGCTACATCTAAGCACTCTACGGTTTGTGTTTTATATAAACTTCAGTGAATAAATTTAGAGAAAAGGATGCAATTATCCTTCAGACCGTAACTTAGGGTTGTATGCTTACAAGTTGGACGCTGTCTCTGAGGTGGCTTTCCTGGTGAGAAAAACAAATTAGATCAGAAAAGCTTTTGGCAAGCTTGACTGCAACGTGCTGAACTGAACTACAGAGAGTTTGATTAGGTCAGTAGAAACAGAAAAGCCCACAGATCTTCTGCATCAGTTTTTCAGTGCAAAATACTGTAGTCAGCAGGGACTGCAAATATGAGTAGAGGCAGTAGTGAGACTGAAGTTACGTACTTTGGTTTTGGCTTGGAGAACCAGTGCATCTGCCTTGAATGCAGAAAGTCTGTCATGAATGCAGATTACGAAGAGTCTGCATTCATTCTTCACTCAAAAATCACTTCAGTGTTAGCATATTTTTACTGTGAGTCTTGGCAGTGCCTTCTGCTATTACTTGTATAAAAAAATTAGGTTTTGCTGAGGATTTTCACCAGCAGTGATCTGTAAAAAGCTATCTTTTGAATCTAGCAATTTTGCCTTACAAAACTTGAATGCGTTTGAACAATTTCCAGTCATAACTTTGCAAAGGGACAACTGAGTTAGTATTGATTTTTTTTTTTTCTGAAAACTGATTTTTAAAATAAGTAATATGTACTCAGATGCGGCAGTCATTGTAACTAGATTGACAGTAAACTGAAACTTTCTGAAATATTTTTCTTCATTCTTTTTCTGACATATCCTTGATTAGTTGGATAATGCATGTTAACACATGTCTAAACTGAGCTATTTTAGTTATTCATTTCTCTTTGCTTTTTAAAGCCCTTTGTGCCAGATTATTTGACCATTTGTTTTGCTAGATCCTAGGATAGAAAGATGGGGAAAGAAATTAGCCTGCTTAATTTCTGGGAACTTGATACTTCACACAAAATTATCTTCTCTTGTAGGTGTCTGCCAATGGACATAGTGTGCGCCCTACACAAGCAGGACGTAAACTGATGAGTACAGCCAAAGGGGCTGAGAAAGAGAAAGGTATGAAAGCAGTATGATCCTTATATCTAAATCTGAAAGGATGTGGCTGTTTTGGGTTTTTTTGGGGGGGTTAGGTTTTTTTTTTTCCTGGGTCAGTAGTTGTGACATTATGGGACATAGGCAAGGAGCATCTCTGGGAGAGATCGCAGTACACTTTTAGGTGTAGGAAACAAGGAGGAGTTTTTTGGGACAACTGTTCCTGCAAACTATGACAAGGGCAGCAGCTGGCAGATTATCAAACATGTGGCTCTAGGTATCACATAAACTCCTTGCCTCTGGACTGAGGGAAATGGAATGCAGGATACGAGCTGTCCTGGTTACTGATTGTTCACCCTAGGAAAGGGAAAAGAACAAGGTCAGTAGGCAGGATTGCATGACTGAGCTGCCTTAGCATCTGGGGCTGTGCAGAGCCTTTGAGGTGTCTCGAAGAATATCTGCTGTTACAGAAGAGCAAGTGGAAAGATGAAGAATAGCTGACAAGTAAAATGTGAATTTTCCTTGGTATTGTGAGTAGCCTGAAAAAAAGCTTCTTGTAGGAGCTGTAAATAATTTCAGTGAAGTCTTTTTTCTGTCTGTACAGCAAATGTGCTGCTGTCTGTGGTCTCTAAATGAAACTGCTTGTGTAACTCAGCATTGAGAAAGGTTTGGAAAAGGATAACCTACTGGTAAAGCACATTAGCATGTAATGTTGGAGACAGGAGCCCAACCTTCTGATGCACACTAGAGCAACTGAGTAAATGTGTCATTGTCGTCTTCAATAAATGACAAGTACAATTTTAGGTTTTCACAGCCCCTTCTCTGTCACTTCCTATGTGACAGTTACGTACATTTCTTAAAAAAACAACAATGAAAAAGAAACCAACCCATGACACCTTTAAGGGAGTAGAATACTTTTGATTAGAAATTCTTCCCAACAGTAGTGATGTCCAGTGCCTCGAGTAGATAAGGTTAAGTCACGTTGAATATTGATGTTAACGCAAGATATTCAGTAATTCAAAGTGAAATTACTTTCACGTCACTAACTTAATTAAATCAGCAAGCAGCAGACTTTATTTAAATAAATATCAGTAGGGCATTCAGTGAATACTGCAGAGATCTGTTATCAGTGTTTATATAACAATTAAAATATTTAATTTTTGAAAAATTGTCATCTACTAGACTTGATTATTCCTTCTGTGCTGAAACAAGAATATGCATTACATGTATTTAAACACTAGTATAAAAGTGTTGGGAAAGGTTGGATAAATTAAATGCTGTAGGTAGTTATCTAGTATTTTCTTTCCCAACTTGTCATTCTAGCTTTCACAGAATTGCAGCTTGACGTTAAAAACTTGAGTAGTGTTAACAGTAACCAAGTGGGGCTACTAGATTTCAGGCAGATATAGAAAGGAAGGATATGAAATAAAGGAACTCCTGTTAAATATTTCTGTGCTGGAGAACGCTATCATTTTTGAAACATATTGGAAACAGTATTAAATACAAAGATGAAAATTATTAAGATGGGTAATAGAGTGCACAAACTTGTCATATTTTATAAAATATTTCAGGGACAATTTGTCTTAAGGATGCCTTGTTAAATTACATTAAATTTAATCATTAGAATACTTTCATATAGTGACCAGGGCATCACTTCATTACACAGATGGTTTGCTTAAGCTTCCAGCTGTGCAAATAACCATGGCAAGTTATGACTCTAGAAAGCTTCATCTGTAAAATGGGGATGATTGACTCTGATTGAAGGGAACTTCCGTTGAGAAGGGTTCTTTAAGCTTTGGCCTTGGCATCTAGCACACTGGTACCTTGATGCTTCTGGAGGTACTACTGTTCAACAAACCCATCTTCCCTCAGGATCCTTCAGAGCATTGCTGTGATGCCAAGGCTGAGCTGTGCTGTCCACGTTTAGCACCGCTTGCACTGAACTGACCAAAAAAAAAAAAATCCCCCAAACCAGACCCTGTTGATTCTGGTTAACTAATGCAACTGATAATTGCTAGTTTCTGATTTCTACAAAATGTAAACTAGTTATATTATTTGAGTGCAGCTCCTTTTTAAGCTTGCAATCTCTGGAATTCATGTTTCTTAGTGTTGCAGACTGCAATCCAGACAGCCTCGGATGTAAGAATCACCAGAGCAGCCGCCTCTGCAGCAAGGCAGGTGCTGAAAACAGCTACTGCTGGTAAGTGAGGTGGTGAATATAGCCCTGCTTGCTGATACGTAAGTATTTGGAATAGTGTGTTGTAAAGAGATACCATCTAGTACTGGATAAGTGAGCCCTGGAAACCGCATATGTATGTGTATATGCTACTGTTAGACTCATTGTCAAATGATATATTAAGACAGCTCTGTCTTTAGGATCTTGCTCATATCTCAGGTGCTCTGTTGTGCTGTAGAGATATGTTATCAGCTTGTCCTGAACTGTCTTAGCACACTACATTCTGCTGTGTAACTACCTCATTTGAACAGAAACTGTATGTAAATCATGCCAAATTGTCAGGTAAGAAAAGGACTATATCACTTAGACTCATCTGGAATTCTGTTGCAATATTTAAATCAAGATGTTGAAACCAACATTGGACAGTTTCCCATAAAATCTGTCAGTGTGCAGCATCAATATCCATATGGTAATTATAAACTGAAGGAACAAAACCAGAACTGGTAAAGATTTGCCAGTTGGTGTACCACTGTGTAAGGACTTACTATTAAGTCTGGGATCAGGAACGCTCTGGAAGAGATGAGAGCCTATGATCTTCAGGTCAGGAATTTCTCTTTGTCCATGTTTGCCTGTTTACTAGAATAGAGGAACATGATGAAGGGGAAATTTTCAGTATATGTTCTTGTCCTCAGGATATTCTCTAGAATGTTCTGCAGTGTCATTTGTATTGTATATGACAGAAGTTAACCACTAGGCTGAAAGCACAGCTTTGCTAGTATCAGTTTCAATTCACAAACAGACATCATATGCCATATAGTAATTAAAAATCTGAACTCAAATTGGCTTGACACTATCTCTTCAGCCTTTAAGGTAATAAGGTGACTTTTATTTTTAGTATATGACACCGTCTAAAGACTAATGACTTCATGAATCTGTTTTCCTTTCCAGGTGATATATCTCTTAATAGGCTGTTAGATCCTAGGCCAGGTTTTCTTTTGAATGAGCTTTTGCAGTTAGGTGTCTGCCCTCTAGCTACCTCCCACTCAAGAAACAAATCTCTCCCTGTCTTTAGCCACTGGACTTCTATGGCAATCTTTTGGGGGAAGATAATCAGATGCCTTTTTGACCTTTGGGAAGTTTCTCTCATTCTAGGTAACCAGTCACAGAGAAAGACAGCAAATGTAGGAAAGCAGAAGAAAGCCATCAAACCTGATATCATGGAGGTAGGTCATTTAATATTTGCAATGAAAAAACAATAAAACCAATTTAAGAGCCAATAACAGTGTAATTGTAGCTCAGATATACTTGTATTCAAGTATGGAAGTAGTAAGTTCACTAATAAGATGGATTTTGGGAAGAAACTATGTGTTTATATTGCTATATTTTAAAAATGAAGATCAAATTTAGTGCCTACATGGATGATTTACTAGTCAAGATCTGGACAATGATTTAAATTAAGACAGGAAGTTCTGTCTGATTTTTTAACTAGTAAAAAAAAAAAAAAAAGGCCTGCTCTCCTGGTTTTTCTCTAGCATTTGTAATTTTTGTGCAGTTCATTCCTTTTTAAACATGCTCTGAATGTATCCTTTTCCTGCTCAGGTAATGATATGAGACTAGAAGCTAATGAATAAATGCATTTTTGGGTTTTGAGCCACCAAAAAATAAAGATGAAAATGTTATTCTCTGCAAGGCAGATGTGATTTATCATCATTAAAGACAGTTATTGTGGTTCTTAGTGTCACTGCTAGAAGAAAACTTTTCTGCCTCTGCGTAGATTCAGCACTGAATTCATCGTAGCCCTCCAACGAGGCTCCCAAACAGTTTGCGTAGGCATTTGTGTGCTGACAGTCCTGTGTGAGAACTATCAATGATTTTTCTCCTTTGCACTCTGCTGTTCCCTCTCATCTTGTGTCTCCCTCACACCTCCCGTCTCTACTCCTGTTTCCATAACTACAGCTGTGCTCTTGTATTGTCTTGAAACTGTTTGTCACACACAAGCACTGGTAGGAGGTAAGAGGCTCTTGCATCTTCGCTTGGGTAAGTACCTCTTCGCAGGCAGGAGTTGGTTGGTGCTGGCAGTGGGTAAACTCTTGCTGTAACCTCAGTCATCTTGTTACAAGAAGTGTGTTAAAAGTTTAATTCAAGGCTTGCATTCCAAAAAGTATAACAAGACTTTCAGTGGATTGAAGATGCATATTTTCATGGAAAACAATCTCTTTTGGCTGGTTTGAGCTAACGGTATCTCAATCTAGGTATCTCAGAAATGTGTTCTGTATGACTATCTGGTCACTTGTAGGAATGTGACTTCAACTTATTAACTTTTTCCTCCTCTTTTAATGACATTGTGGTCCTAACTGCACTTGTCTTGGGCTGCATTCCTCAGCTATCAGCTTATTTTAGCTTGTTCTTCAGTCTTTGGATTAGAGTATGTGTAGAAACTGTGATTATTCAAGAGGCCTAGTTGGATTTGGAGCCAGTAATTCTGCTCTCGAGGAGCTTATCACCTTAAAGCATTTTTTTCTAGCAGTGAGAGCAAGCGTTTGCTAATTTGAATTACTGTTTTAGTAGGTGAGGTGTTTTGCTACTTTAGCCCCTTCTGTGGATTGTTGCGTTCCTCATAGCAAAGGAGGAACCACCCTTGTTGCTAGAATGATTTGCAGGTGTCAAAACCAGTTGGACCTGTTGGTAAATCATGACTTCTGTACACTTAGGCTATTGTAGAAAGCATCTTACCTGAAACTGTTCCATTCCAGATGGCTTTCAGACAGTCACCCACCCGTGCCTGTAGTAAACACTTAATTGATTTGATAATGGAGTTTGCTTTGTCTATTTGTGCTGTTCTAGATAATTCCTTCTAAACTTGAAGTGGATAAAAAAGCTCAAGTGGATCCAGCAATGGAAAGTTCTGCAGCCGATTCTAAACATTCAGTGTTGGTAGAACTTCAACAGAAACAAACATCAGAGGAAAACAAAACCAATTCTGCTCCAGGGAGACCCAGAACACGCTCTTTTGCACCTCAAAACTTTGTGTTTCAGCCATTAAATGGATTAGCGACCTACAAAGTTACACCCATGAGTCCTGCTAGGGCAAGTGCATTTTTGACACCTGTTGCCTTCTGGGATTTTTCTAAATCTCCAGTGTAAGTGTCTGTCTTCTCAGGGCCTAAAATGCAAGTGAACCTCTCTGTGATGATAGAGAAAGAATCATCTTGCTATAGCGATTCCCTGTGTAACAAATTGTTGTGACATTGAAACACCTGATCGTGGTTGCCATCATATCTTAAATGTGGACTTAACACCAAAGAAAACAGTATCATCCAGAATTCTAGCTGTGCTCCATATATTGGAGACTGTGCCATATATATCTGCACAGATTTATTCTTTTCAATAGGATTTGCTTGAGTTCTCTAGCAATGTGTGTAAGATTGCCTTCTAGATTGAGAAACGGACATCAAATATGGCCAAATATACAGAAATGCACAATGTGTCTTAACTCTAAATGTGCTTTTTTTTTGTTTCCAGTCATATAACTGAAAAATCCAGTGAAACTGAGGCACAAGAGCCTAATTTAAAAAGTCAAGCTTCACCTGCTGATAAAGGCATTCAAGAACAGCAAACCACTACAAGTTTGAAAGAAGAAAAAGGTAGGAGGTTCACATTTAGTTTATTGTTCTAATGTTTCTAGTTTTTACCAGATTCTGAACCAAATGCCTTTTTGTATTTTTCAGCAAGTGAATCAGATGAGAAGACTTCCATCCAGAGATCAAATGAGATAATTCCTGTCTCTCCAGATACAACAGCACCTGAAACAAAGTCAGATGATGTAAGAGAGGAAGAGCATGGTGTGGGCTATTTCAGGTTTGTGTTCATCTGTGTCACTTCCCTGTTGTCTGTTCAGAGGCCCTTCATCTGGGTAACGAGACATCTCATCAAGATTAGCTTGTGGTGGTTGGTGCCTGTCAGTAGTGACCTGAGTAGGCACGCATTCCTATCTCACCTTTTGTGTTTTTAGTGCAAATAAAGAATATAGAATTTTGGAGACTTACACCTTGTCTGAAGTAACATGAGCTTGAAAGCTGTAGAAAAGAAATTGCGTCTCAGCCAGTCAGCAAACTGAAATAGTGTAATGGCTTCTGCTCAAAGACAGCATAGCTTCTCTGAAAGCAGCAGGATAGTAATCATGAACTGTCACAAGTAGTGACAGCAGTTAGAAAATTCTTCAAAACCCTTATTTTTTCCCTATCCCTTTATTTTTAGAAACATTCTTCAGTCTGAGACAGAGAGGCTGATGTCTCAGTGCCTCCAGTGGGATGGAAAATTTGAGCTGGATATTCCAGAGGATGGTAAGACTAAACTGTAATAGGCACTAGAAGGGGTGTTAGGGTCACTGAAGGGGACAGAGGGAGGTACATGTGTATCTTTGCAAAATAGCACTGTCTACAGCACTTACTAAAAGATTTGTTAGATAAGTTTATAGCTGTATCTGCCTCAAGATAAAGGCATGCTTTGTCTCCTAATGCTAAAACTTAGGTGTAGTTCTTGGCTTCGTAGTGGTTGACACTAAAGTGAGCAAAGTGCATATTGAAATAGTTTTTCTGTTGTCAGTTTTAAGTGTATTTAAATGTATGAACTTTAATCAAGCTGATTTTTTAAAAAAATAAAATTAGGTTTTATTGTAGAATAAGTGTCCTTGTCTGGGGAAAATGAAGATGACTCATCAGTGCTCATCTTAAAGACAGTAACTTTTTTTTTTTTTGAAAAAGCCAGTTTAGAGCAGTTCAGCGGATAGCTATGCTTCATCTGAACTGTATTGCAGGTCTGCAATAGATGAACATAGTTCAAACAATAAACAGATTCCAGACTCTTTAAATCCTTATTGAAATCAACTGTGAAATGATAGATTATTCCAAGATGAACTTAATTTATTGTTTTCTTGTTGCTATCAGCTAAAGATCTTATTCGCACCACAGTTGGTCAGACAAGGCTTCTCATAGCAGAAAGGTTTAAACAGTTTGAAGGACTGGTGGATAATTGTGAATTTAAACGAGGGGAAAAAGAAACAACGTGTACAGACTTAGATGGATTTTGGGATATGGTTAATTTTCAGGTATGTACTTGCATGTTAACCTACTAAAATAAAGTTGATGTTATTTATGAACAATGGATTGGAACGATTTATTTGGTGTTTGAGTATTTGGATTCTGATTTTTTTTTCATAAATGTAAAAAATGTAAGTCCTTGTTTAACACTTTCTGACAGTGAATAGTACTAGTTTCTATGCTGTGATTTATAATTCATAGACGAGTTCATCTGTTGTGTCTTCTTGTGGCCTGTGTGTTTTTCTCTGGAATGAAGGCCTATAGCCAAGTCTTATTCTGGTTGGGAGTGAGGATGCAGTCATGATGTCTACCTGGACCAAAAGCTGGGAGCTTTTGGAAAATTTCTGAAGCTCACCTGAAAATTAGGGATTCCATGCTTCAGTATGATAATAACACAGAAACTACAGTCACCTTATTTAGGGGTGAGCTTAGGTGGTAGAAAACATCCATCTCTGTTGATGCTTCCATTGGCTTCAGAATTAAATATAACATCCTAAATTACCAGAAGGGCTCTTGACGGTATTTGTAAGTCGGCATTCAACAAATGAACTTGTAACTAGTTAAATTAAATGTAAAGATGGATTTATTGTTAAGGTCATAGTCATAGGTCTTAAATTCCCTCCAGAAAGCAGAAGGGATTGATCTGCTGCTTCAGAGATATTTGAGGGCAGCTTTGTTAGAACCAGCAACTTAAAAAACAGGGTTTACCTATGCTTACTATGTATCAGCTCTCCTGAGTTTCTCCTGAGCCTCACCACCTTTTCCTTTAGATAAACTTGGAGTAACAGAATTGCTCACTCTGTCCCTGTTTGCATTTGGTTTTTGTTTGTGTCCTCTGAGTTTCAGGGAGGATGTAAAGGACTTTCACTTCAGTGACTAATCTGCTGTACGTACATAAGCCTTGTGTAGCCTTACTAGCAAATGAGGCAAGTGCCTCCCTTACAGAGCCTGAGGAGAACAAGGCTGTTGTATGGAGCATCAGTCAGGGAGGAGGTGATGCTGCAGAGCTCGTTTGTCACGAGCAAGCAGGGATTGCATCAGGAAGCTGTTCAGGCCAGCAGTTTAAGAGTAAATGAGCTTGCATGGTGTGTTTCCTACATAATGGAAGACTCATGCTTGTTTGGGTAAAGACTGTTATGCAATGTGTTCTTTTACATTCCTTTACATTCCTCCAAGTGCTTAAGTTCAGTACAAGAACAGGTTGTAGACCAGCAACTTCGTTTTAGATGTTAGATCTTATTGAATATTTCCAAACTTCCCCTACTAACTACAGAAATGAGACCTGTCTTGTCATCTAATTTGAAGCTTGTGTATGGTAGCGTAACCTTCATGTCAATTGTATGAGATCACTGAATACTTTAAATCAGTTGGTGTCTTAATTTGCTTCTGTATTTAAAGCAAAAGTACTTAAATGTACAACTATGCTTACATTTTTATGAAACGCTATTCTACTGTGAATCTACTAAGTCTTGAAAATTAAACCTGGACTTTTCTCGGCTTTCCAATAGATTAAAGATGTGAATAAAAAATTTGATAACTTGAAGAAGCTTCAAGACAATGAGTGGCAACCACTTGATGTCCCAACCAAAGCAACTGTCAAGGTATGAATAGCCCTTAAAGTCTGTGTCTCAAGGCATCGAGATGCAACAGAGCTGTCTAAAATAACTAGTAAACTGCTACTGCAGTAATGAATACTCTTCTTAAATGGAAGTTCCTTCTAAAACCCTACTCATCTGGCTTCTTTAGATGTTAATGTGTAAAAATTCAGTGAAATTCCTCTCAAGATGCACCCTTCTCCCTTGCATATCTCAAGTGCACTTGTATTAGTTGCTGTTGGTAATGCTAGTTGCCTCTTTTGGCTCGGTAGATTAGAACTAAGAATTAACAATTGACTCCTTTGGAGTCCTTGGACTCTGTGCTAGTAAGGCAAATCTATTAAATTTAGAATAGAAATTTACCCTTAAGATGCAGAACGCTTTGTCTGGGCTACTGGCATTGACACTAACTGAACTGAAAAGGAAACCACCCAGAAGTTTGGCAGTGACAGACAGTTCTGAACAGTGAGTGCTAAATTATAATGGCGTCCCATTAAGACAGCACCATGGGTAGCATTAAACTAGTAGTTTAAGCACAGATGGATCTGACACTATCCAAAATAACTTATTGCTTTAATAAAAGCTATTTTAACTACTCTTTGGTTTGGAATACATAATTGCTTCTAATGACTGAACATCAAGTCGTATTCATGTTGCCAAAACTCCATCCAGTTCCTTGAGACTGCTCAACTAATTATGAAAATCATGAGCTTCAACAAGGCCAAGTGCCAGGTCCTGCCCTTGGGCCACAACAACCCCAGGCATGGCTACAGGCTCGGGGAGGGGTGGCTGGAGATGTCTGGAGGAGAAGGATCTGGGGGTTCTCACTGACAAGCAGCTGGACAGGAGCCAGCAGTGTGCTCAGGTGGCCAAGAAAGCCAACGGCCTCCTGGCTTGGATTAGAACTAGTGTGAGCAGCAGGAGCAGGGAGGTGACAGTCCCCCTGTGCTCGGCACTGGTGAGGCCACACCTGGAGGGTTGTGTCCAGGTTTGGGCACCTCGATACGAGAGAGAACTCGAGGGGCTGGAGCAAGGGCAGAGGAGGGCAACAAGGCTGGGGAAGGGCTGGAGAATAAATCCTGTGATGAGCGACTGAAAGAGCTGGAGTGTTCAGTGTGAGGAGGAGGAGGCTGAGGGGAGCCCTCATCCCTCTCTGCAGCTCCTGACAGGACATTGCAGAGAGGCTGGGCTCTGCTCCCAGGGGATCAGGGACAGGACAAGAAGGAACGGCTGGAAACTGCAACAGGGGAGGGTCAGACTGGACATTAGGAAAAAATTTTTCCCAGAAAGAGTGGTCAGAGAGTGGAATAGGCTGCCCAGGGAGGGGGGACTCCCCATCCCCGGGTGTGTTTAAGGGTCGTTTGGATGAGCTGTGGGGCATGTGGTGTAGGGGAGAGCATTGTAGAGTTGGGTTGAGGGTTGGACTCAATGATCCCGAGGGGCTTTTCCAAGCTGAAGGATTCTGTGAAAACGATATGAAGGTTAGTAAGGAACTCCAGGCACAGAAAACTGGAGGGAATGTAGTCTGTGCGAGCTGCTGGTAAATGTCAGAACCCTACAGATGGTACAAGACACTAAACTTCCTTCAAAAAATTGAGTGCCAGGAGAGTCTTCACTGGCTGACTGGTGTCTGTCCTGTGTTTACTTTCTCTCCCTGCCACTAGGAGTCCCTGTATCCCACTCTTTAACTGGAGTTGTCAGAAAAAAAGGTTGTACTGAGTATTTCTGAACTGCAGTAGGAAAAATTCTTAACGTTGTCATCACAAAGTAACCTAAATAGCTGAATGACAGTCCAAGACACTGGGGAGATGAACAGGGGCTTTGCCCTCAGCGTGTCTCTTGCCTGTTGCGGTCTCTGTGCGTGACCAGCAGCTCTGTAGATGTTGATGTGCGACTGCTTCTGTCCAAAACTTCCAGATGTGACTGAGACTTTCTTACCATTTCAGAAGACGGCTGTTCCAAATGGGGTGTCTAAACCAAAGCTGGGAGCAGCTGGCAGAACTGCTGCCCGAAACCGTCTTGCTGCTGTAAAAGCAGCTATGAGGGCTAAAATGAATCATGATGGTGCTGGTGATGGTCCACATCAGGAGAAGCTACCAGAAGTAGAAACAGTAGTTTTTGAAGCGGGATTTTTCAGAATTGAAAGTCCTGTGAAAACCTTTCCAGGTGGGTGAAGCTTAATCATGATTTCTATGACCGGAAAATACTGAAGAGAGTTTAACCAGTCACACTGGGGAGAGGAATGATGTTGTTTATACTGGATACACCTTCAGTACTGGACACAATTAATATTTCAACTAGTGGTTAATTACGTCAGGGGACCAAAGAAAACGGTTCTAAGTGAATGTACTGATCTGAGTGATCATGGCAACATGAAATCACTGCTCAGACAGAGGTAAAAGGGGTTACTTCATGGTTTTTCAACACGTGTTTAACAATGAAGTTTTAATCCAAGTGTTCCCAGACTTAGTTGATGAACCTGTTCATCAAAGTCAGTGGAAGCTAATGTCCTTTATTTGTACCGCAGGAGTTGGATTTTTTTTTTTTTTTTTTTTTTTTTTTTTGAACTAAATCACTGGCAGTGCTGTCTTTAAAGCTGAAAAAAAGTGTACTCTTAATCTGTACTCATACTCCACAAGATTGTAACATATTCCGGTCTGTTATAAAAGCTGTTTAATAGGTTTTCTGAGCAGATGCTCAAAACACAACTTTATTTTCAGTATCTATCTTATCACAATCTATGTGAAGCCAGTATTTTCAGCAGTCCTTGATTTTTTTGGGAACCATTCTGCTTCTCTCTCATTTCTAGATCATAAGTTGACTTTGAATTTCCCAGGCTTTTTGTGTAGATCTCTTTCCTTATCACAAGACTAGCAATTTTTTCATATGCCTCTCGTTAGTAGAGAAGACCTTCTGAAAAGCTTTGAGCATCACTGGCTTGAAGCAAGCTCTAGCAGAGAATCTGTTATAAAAAATCGATTCTGAATCTGTCTTCTTCATTCTATTAAAATTACCTACTGTGAAAGATGGAAATTCATGACAGTGTTCACCAGATGGACTTGTTAAGAACAGCAAGTCTCATTATTTCGGGTTCTTTGTGAAGGGATAGTCATTACTAAGTCGCTTGGCTGGAGTTAAAGTAGTTTTGTAACTTACTGACCTACTCTGGTCAGCTCTTTGCAATTTCTTCTTTCAGTGTATATAAGATTTCAATGTAATATTTGTGTAAGACAATTCACCAATCAGAAAACAACGGTGTTCCTAGCTAGAATCCAAGCAAACAGTTAACTTCATCTTCTGGAAACTACTGTAGTAATGAGACATTAAACACACTTTTTCAGGTTTGCTTTCAAAGACACCTCTTGGATCTTCCTCGCGCACTTCTGGAAAACTGGCCACTCCAAGATCATCCAGTAGAGCTTTGCTTCAGAGCATCCCTTCTGTTCTTCGTAACCCCAAGGATACAACCGCAAAACAAACAACGCCAGTGCTCAAAGGCTTCCACCCAGCACAAAATTTGGAAATGCACCAATTTCCCACTGGAAAAACTCCCTCACTGGAAGAACTTCCTGGTGGTTTTCTTGAACAAAGGTAGACAAGTTAAGGCAGTTTTTAATTAACTTTGTACAAACAATTTTATAGTTCTAACTGAAAGAATTAATATAATACCCATTAAATGTTACCTTCCAATTTAGCAGTGGTGAAGGTTGCAAAGTCCTTGTGACTTTTCCTTCCCTCAAGCAAATACTCAGATCTTTGCCCAAATCTAATCTCACTGCTGAGGTAGAAGTTTATTTTTTGCCCAGAAAATTCGATAGAGCTGACCAGTGCCAAACAAGCATAACTGCGGAATTGTGAGGTTGGTTGGGTAAGTCAAAAGGTGATTGAAGATGATTGAGAATTAAAACATTTCAGTTTCTCTTTCAGCATTTCTACAGCTGAAGAACAACACTGTCCTGCTGCTGGCACAGCAGAGGGGGCTGAGGTAAGTCATGCAGAGTTCATGTGCAAAAATAACCCCACTTTATTAGCCCCAGACACTTGGATTTCTGATCAAATCCTCAAGATACCTGCCGTATTCCTCAGGCTGGTGCTTTTTCCTGCTCAGTGTGGACACAGGTGGGGACTGCTGCAATTGGGCGACCTTGTCCAGCTCTTTGGGAGCCACCTTTTGTTGGCTGCTGTGTGATGACAATTGCCACTTGGGCAAGCAGTGCTCCTCGAAGTCCACTACCTCTTTTCTAGTGTGAATTTTTTTTAATGCTTTTGCATTTGGGCACCACAACTAAAGACAACAGTGGTATTTAGCCCTCTGGGTCCTCACGCTGCTGTAGCAGAGCACTGGGCTGTTTAAAGTTTATTGTATATTGTTCAAAGTTATAGCAAGAGCAGTGTCACTAATACCGGTATCAGAGTTCAGAAGTCCATGCCCTGAAATGTCTGAGGACTTGGTGACTTGCCTACATTTAAGTAGCCTTAAAAAACAAGAAATGCTGACTCCATAGTTCAGATAATACTGTGCTACTCAGTGAAGGCCAGTGCTTTGCAGTTAATCATCCTTCAGTACTTTTCATTGGAAAAGAAGCATCTTGATTCTGTTTGTTACTGTTTAGATCTGTGTATGACTACAGCAGTTCCCGCCCCCACACACGCCTTATATATATTTTTTTTAAAAATCTTGATTACTAATTTGTTCTTATGCCTTTTACTTCATTCTTTCCCTATCAAATGAGAAATAGCTCGTTGGTGATGTCACTCTCTGAGGAAAACTGTGGTAATCTTTAATTTTCATTGTTGCTGATCGGTTTTTCTTAAGGTAAAGTCTCATTAGAGAACATCCTCAGAATGTTTTGGACAGTTGAAGTTCAAAATCATCTTCTGTGTGGAAGAATTTCCTTTATACTAAGAGATTATCAAGCTTACAATGGTGTTTGGGAAATAGTTCCTGTGTTAAGCTGTGAGCCTTGTCCTGCCTGTGCTTTGTACCATGCCTGGATTTAAAACCTGTCTTTCCTGAATTGTCCATAAAAACTGCAGATTGGGTGTACGCACTTGGTGTGACATGACAGGAACATGCTGCTTTCTGTAAATGCAGATCCCCTTGAATGTCTTGGCTACTCTTTCATGCTTTCTGCATCAAAAGCTGTCAAACTTTCTTTTATTGCAGACAAAACAGAAAATAAAGCTTCCTTGTGTCATAGGTGCTGCCTCATGGCTGATTTCACTGATGCTTTCCTTTTGGCTACTGCAGACATCTTAGCCTCTCAGAGGGCAAGGAACAGTTAAAATTCCTCTTTTTCAGGTGCTGGAAAATTCTAGCAGTGAATTAAAAGTAACGGATGGCATGGAAGTGATGGAACTATCTGCTGCAGAGCAACAAGGACAAGATATTGTCATGTGCAGCCCAGAGAAGGAGATCTGCCCAGAAACTAATTTTGATTACTCTGGAGAACCAAAAATACATCCAACAGGTGCCTATCTTAAAGCTGCTTAGTACAGTTTGTGTGGTATTGCTGGGGCCTTATGTTTGTTCTAAAGTTTTATGGAGGTCTAAGTATTACTCTTTGAAATCCCTGTCATTGTAGCTTGCTTAATCTCTGTATGCTGTTAGCAAAACCTCCTTTAGCAGGGCTTGCACATGAGCAAACAGTGCCCCTTGGGTTTTTCTGTAGAGTTTCCATGTGATATGTGAAGGAGAAAGCTCATGTAAAAGGCTTGAAGTAGAAGTAAATACAGGCAGTTTAGGGTTTGTTTTCTTTCAGTAAATGCAGAAAACAATACCTGTTTCTCAGCTTTGGCAGCATCAGACACTTTTTTAAAAAAAAATAAAAATTCTTATTTTTCAGATGTTTCATGTAGTGATTTGACATCCATTGGCAGAAATCCTTCGGTAAGTTGACCTTGAGGTTTATTTGACTAAGACAATCAGCCTGTTACAGTCCTGTTAACCTTTCCTACAGAATCAGTTACTGCACGAAGTAAACTAAACTCTGCAAGATGTTATCAAGCCAGTTCATATAACTTACTCTAAATACAAGCCACGATTCCCGTCTCCCTGCTCAGGCTCACACTGTTACTCCTTGTGGCACATGAGTGTAGGATGAATTGAGACATTTGTAACAGAAGAATGTCTGATTCTTAACAGATTGATCCTTTAAATAATATTTATTGTAAGTATTTACCAACATAATGAAATGCCTGGTCTTTTTCCTCTACTTCCTTGGAATTTTTCAGGTCTGTCCCATCCATTTTTTTATAGCTTTAACTTGTAAAGCTGGAAGGAAGATTTAACAGGGAAAAGCAGGTGTGCAAAAACTTTCAAATTGTTAAAAGAATTTGGATGTGGAGTTTCTTGGGTCTCGTGAAGAACCCTTTTTAAAATATGGATTACTTTAGCGATGAGCGTCTTCAAAATGGACCACGTATCCATTTTGTATTTTATGTCTGGAAACAACCTTGCAAAATGTCTGTTGGGAGAGCCACAGTATTTAGTGGTACATGACTTTGACCTGCAGCAGTTGCTTTGAAGCAATATCTTACATAAGCAAGCACATTTTAGTATACTGGCATCTACTGAATCGCTGCAGGCTTCAGCTCTGCCCCCCCAGATCGGTGCTTTGCTTATTCTAGAGCTGCAGTGTGTCCACAGGACTGGGTGAGAGGCAGGAGGATTGCAGGCTCCTCCTGTCCCCTTGTCAAGAGCATTTTCTGCTAGGTTTTGTCCCACAAAAGTAAAGCAGACAGGTACCTACCCTACCTAAGCAGTTGCCCGACAGTAATTGCCATTGGTCTGGTGGTGACACAGTTGTCATTAGAGAGAGGGGAATTCCCCATTAGCTGCTTTCATGTGTCACCCCAGTGCTGTTTTGCAGAGCAGATAACTGCTCCTCAGACACTTACTTCACACTCTGATCTCTCCCCCGCAGCCCATGCTGGATGCTGAGCTTCCCTTCACTCCAGTCAAGAGCAAAGCCCAGAAGTTTGCAGCAGCTGAAGCATTCAGTGACCTTATTGTATTTTCTCCCCTTTCTCCTGGGGAGAAATGAAGAGTTGACTTGAAATTCAAAATGTGTAAATTGTATTAACAACAAACCCACGGAGGATATCTGGAATACGCTGCTACCCTGGAACTGTGTTCTGAGTGAATGAACACCTTTAGTATTTTGTAGTGGAGTTTATTAAAATATTTTGTAACCTTATGGGGCAGTTGTGTGCTGTAAGTACTGCTGTACATTAGTAGCAGCGTGTTTGGTTATATCTGTTATATCCAGATTGCATATTTTTAACTACAGCCTGAAATATTTTTATTTTTCTATAATTTCATGTTTTTCCTGTCTACTCCAAGTTGTAAAACTATTCCTCCTTTAAGCTTTTCTGTCCTGACCTTACCACAGGAATTATTATTAGAAGATGCCTCCCAGAGTGGCTGTACCTGTGCCCTGTTTCTGATGTGAGGGCACCTCTGGGGACAGGACTGGGCCTGCTGCCTCCCCCAGAGCATGGTTCCATCTCGGTGCTGCTGTCAGGGGCCTGTTGCACCCCTGGGCTCTGGCATTCTGTGCATTAACAACTGCTAATTGGCATCTGCTCAGGGTTCGATGTGGGCCATTCTTTCCTGTGGGAGTCTGCTGGGTGTTTACCAACCACTTGCTTTGTTAGTAGTAGAAACTATCTCAGCACAAGGATTTCTGAGTCAGATAATATCTTTTCCTGGCTGTGTATTAAAATAGGGCATTGATTATTATTTCCTTTAAGGACTCAGTTATCTGTTGAGCATCTTGAGTACCCTCAAGCCAAACTCTATTCTCTCTGCTTTTTCATGTGAAAATCTCTCAGGCTCTTTGAACACTTGACATGTAAACCTCAGCCTCTTCTCACATCTTGTTCCTTATGCATTCTCCTGTCTGCACTGTAATATATTTATGCATAAGAGCACACCAGTTATACTCTATATTTGAGTAATAGTATTAGAGTACTTGTAGTTGCTATATTTTTCAGTGATACCTAACTGGGCTGCTTTTTTGTAATGGTGATCTTAGTGTAATACACACATTCTTCCACTAGCCTTTATTTTAAACCTAAATCAATTCAAATCCCTCAGCAAGTGTTGCCACTACAGCTGGGGGATCGTGTCTGACAGAAGTTTTAACCTGGAAGCTGTGTACTGGTTACACTGAAATAAATAGAGGAAGCTGATGTGATTTGGTGTTACTGTGCTGGAGCCAACTTCCTCCTTCCTAAACTCGAGTTGTAGTGGTTCGAGGCTACTGCATCTGCTGGAAATTTTAACCTTGTGCTTGTTGGGATGTGACAGCTCCAAGTGTAAATGACACAACTGTTATAAAAGAGTATGAGACATACCAGAGATCCTTGAAAACTTCAGTCCTGGCTCTTGCACTGTTCTTGTTTTGCAGACGAGACCAGAAGAATGACTCACAGAGAAGAAGGGAACATACTTTACTTTTTTTTTTTTACCATTCTGACTCATGAGGTGAACTTGCCAATAAACCTCCCCACCCTTAAACCCAGTCTTGACTCACACAGAAGTGATGAGGGGAAAGAAGCAGGAGGCTCATGACCCCTTCCCCAGAGCACGTAACGCTTATATAAATCGGATCTCCCTTGCAGATAGAACAGGCCTTTAAAATGAAGGAGAGGGGTAAATTTTCTTGCTGGGGTCCGGGAGAGAGATTTTGCTGCTTCCAGTTCCAAACCCCCTCTGAAACACCTCATTCTAGCTGGGATCAGAGACTTGAGTTTTCCAGCCATTCCTGGTGTACAGAATCTGAGGTGACACTTCTGTGAATTACACACGACCCAGGTGAAGCCTGATCGCCCCCCTCTTCCTCCCCTGGGGGCAACTTCAGTCCTTCCCTGCATTGTTTTGAGTCGTTTTGTGGAAAAGGAATTATTATTCTACCTAGCAGAGCAACTGCTGCTGCTGCTTCTTGGAGAAGGTGGGGTTGGAGATTGCTGCCCCTGTTCACAGGACCAGGGCAGGATCCTGCAACTGCTTTGCCAGTTGGGCAACGGAGCTGGGGCAGGGTCTGGAGCACAGGTCTGCTGGGGAGCGGCTGGGGGAACTGGGGGGGTTCAGTCTGGAGAAGAGGAGGCTGAGGGGAGACCTCCTGGCCCTCTGCAACTCCCTGCCAGGAGGGGGCAGAGAGGGGGGATGAGTCTCTGGAGCCAAGGAGCCAGCGGCAGGCCCCGAGGGAATGGCCTCAAGCTGCCCAGGGCAGGGTCAGGCTGGCTCTGAGGAAGGATTTCTGTGCAGAAGGGGCTGTTGGGCGTTGGAATGGGCTGCCCAGGGCAGGGGGGGAGTCCCCGGGATCCCTGGAGTGGTTGAAGAGTCGGGCTGAGCCAGCGCTGAGGGATCTGGGGGAGTTGGGGACTGTCAGTGCTGGGTTCATGGTTGGACTGGAGGAGCTTCAAGGGCTTTTCCAACCCAGATGATTCTGGGATGCTGTGAAGCCTTCCTCTGCATACAGCTCAACCAGCTCCTCATCTTTTGTCAAAAAGATTCTCTGTCTGCAGCAAGAATTCAGATGCATGCACATCTGAACTCGGCTCAAAGGATATCATGTCTTCTGAGATATTACCGAAACCAAGTTTTACTTGTGAAAGCATGTTTTATTACCTCGAAGTACTCATGTAAGAAGGCACTTTTTTTTTACAGCCATATCCCGAGCATTAAGTTTGTATTAAAAAGACACCACTGTCATTATATCATGGTGGGTGTGACGCTGGTGAGGGTGATGTCCCCAGCAATGCAGAGTTTGGTGATCTCGTTCAGCCTCTTCTCACGGAAGCTGTACTGCAGCAAGTGAGCGTCGTCCACTGCCACCTTGAAATGATCCACCTCGCAAAGGATCTGGAGCTGAAATAAAAACCCCAAATCAGTCAAAAAGATAACCATCGGATTTGTTCAAGGAAGTTTTAAGCCACAGCCACGAGCAGGCTGGCACCGGCTGGAGGCTGCTGCCAGCACGGTCCAGCCCAGTGGCATGTGGACAAGCTGGTGCAGCAACTCTGGGCTGCAAAACACCGGTGACCTTTGCCTCCCCCAAAGCCCTGCCATGCTCTTCCTCCTTCATTTTTTTAGCCCAGTTTCTGTCTTCTAGTGACTATGATGGTGTTTGCAGGAAAAAAAGCTGGTGCAGAGAGCACGGGGAAAATGCTCCCTAGAAACCTGCCCGATGCCTGCTGCAGAAGGACAGTGTAAGTCAGGAGGATTTAATAATAAATGGGAATAACAGAAGTTGGGGAGAACTTACACCCTGGGCACGCAGGAGGGGTAAGAAGTGCAGGGAAGGCCCTTGTGGAGTCGAGGCCTGTGCTAAAGCAGCGAGGTCCTTACGCTGAGCCCTGACTCAACCCTCCCGGCGCGTGGTGCTGGTGCTTCTGACACAGAGACTTGAGTTTTAGGGGGAGGTTTGTTACCTTGAAGGGTTTTCCAGCTTCAAATGGAAACCTAGGAGCTGTCCTGTCCTCCTTTCCCCAGTTATTCTGCAACATTGAATTGCAGACGATGACTTTCCTGTTGTCTTCCTTAAAGCGGGGATTAAAGTGGAAGGCGATGTCGTTCCCTTTCTTGAAATCCAGTGAAAACCTGCAAAAATTATTACAGACTGGCTGATTTTTCTACAGAATTTCATATAATATTTGATTTTACACCAGGCAGGTGTTATTCAGGAAGAAAAAAACCCATCCCTGCACCCCACGGAACCCCCTGCCCATGGGGCTGGACACCCCTGGTACCTGTTGGGGTTGGGGTTGACGGTCCCCGTGATGGTTATGAGCATCCGAGGGACGAGTCCTGTCTGCAGGGGCAGCTCGAAGGGCACTTTCTGGGAGACAACGGGGATTTGGTGTTAAAAAAACACGGCCAAAGCCAAGCGCTCAGGCACGGGCTGGCTCTCGATGCGACAAACGCATCAGGGCAGCCCCGTGACACTGTGACAACCCTTGTCACCCCCCCCCCCCGGGGACAGCCAGCCCCACGTCCCTCCCACAGCCAAGCAGCATCAGGCACTGAAGACACCAAAACCCTTATAAGAAGAGCTGTTACCAGCGGAGGAGCTGGTCCCCCCTGCGGAGGAGAGGGCCCAAATCCAGGGCCACTGGGTGGTTGTCCTGGTGCAGAATAGGGCCCTGGTCCTGCTGGTGCTCCAGGGAATGCTCCAGGTGCTCCGGGATACGCTCCCTGTCCTGCTGGTGCTCCTGGATACGCTCCTGGTGCTCCTGGATACGCTCCCGGTGCTCCGGGATACACTCCGGGTGCCCCAGGATATGCTGCCGGTGCTCCAGGATAGGTCCCCGGTGCTGCCGGTGAGCCAGGATAGGTCCCGGGAGGGCCGGGGTACACCGGGAACCCCCCAGGACCTGGCTGGTTCCCCCAGGAGGGCCAGCCTTGCGGGGGGGGGGCAGAGGGGTTCGGGTTGTTACCAGTGGACAAGGCATCGGATAACTGGGGAGAGAAAGGAGAGGAGGAGGGTTAGGTGGGGGACAGTAATGCTGGGGGAAGGTTGAGGCCTCCAACACCCAACTTCTGTAGCCTACAGCGTGTGCTGAGGGCAGGAGCTCAACTGCTCCCCAGCAGCAGCAGGGGGCGGGGGGGGCGTGTCTGGGCTGAGGTTTCCAGAAAACCAGTAAATCCCAATGTGACTGGAGAGGATCTGGGGAGTTAGGCAGGTAATGAAGCTGCACTCCCACCCCTTCCGAGGGTCCCCGCTTCAGGGCAATTAAATAATCACAGTACACACTTTTATTTTTTTTAAAAAAAATCCATACTTACAGAGAAACCGTCTGACATCTTTCCTAAAACAAAAAGACAGAGTACGCTTAAGTCATTTTTAACATACACCAGCTGAAATAGAGAGATTTTTGAGAAGAGCTACAGTTCACAGCATCAACAAGCTGGAAATTAGTAAGTCCCATCACGTACCTGCTAGGCAGAGCCGACAACTCTGGTACCACAGAACAAAACCTTGTCTGATACCTGTGGGAGAAATTGAGGGTCAGGAGCAGCCTGAACGGCTCCGGGGGCGAATCCAGCCCAAACACCCTCCGGATGAAATCGGCTGCTGCGGGGTTGGTGTCAAGGCAGCGCCATCGCTGACCTCACAGCGCTGCGGAGAGGGGACACAGACTGAAAGGACCTGCTGCTGCTCTGCTCCGGGAGCTCTCAGCTCCCTCCGGCCTCTCGATGGGTTTTCACCCACCCAGTTTTTTTGCTCTTTGCTCGCAGGGAAGCACCAAGCAGCATCGCAAACCACGCGAGCACCCTGCTCCCCCCAGAACCACGGGGCACTGCGGAGCTCGGCATTTGATCCACCCTAAAAAAAGTCCGTGCCAAGTGTCTGCTGTGATCAGAAGTCAGGATGTTTTATTCCAGCCTCCAAACTCTTTTTAGAAAAGAAAAAAAAAAAAACAAAACAAACAACCACCAAAACAAACCAAACCGGCAGTGCTCACTGTTTGCCTCCAGTAAACCCCCCCTGTGCAGCACCGGGGGGGGGACACGGCCACCTCCCTGCCCTGGCTATGGGGTGTTCGCAGTCTGTGTGTGACTCCCGGTGACACCCACACGCCTGCAGGCTCGGTGACAACGCTCTGTCCCCCGTGAAGGCGTGAGAAGGAGCAGAGCTGCTCGCTGGGATGAGTAACGCGGCCTCGACGCCCACCCGTGTCACGGGAGCAGTTTTGTCCTGCACCCTGGCTGTGGCCGGCGTTACTCACTTCCCCGTCTCCCTGAGGCATCCTCCAGGAGAAGATTTCAATTTAAAAAAAAAAAAAAAATTCCTTGCAGGAGGGGTGGGCCACAACAACAAACACAAACTACAAATCCAGCACAAGACACTGGGGGACATGCAGCCACCCCACGACCTGCGGGACAGATGCCTGCTGCAGGCCTTGGAAGGCGAGAGGAGCGCAGGCACCCATGGGTGGAGGTCCCCTTTCTCCCCCCACGCATCCCCCCCTCGCCCCACGCCGGCCGGAGGGCACCGCAGGAAGGACACGGGTGCCACCGGCCGCTCCAGGCCACTGGATAAAAGCTGCTTTACAAGTTTTATGAGTCCACGCCGAGCCGCTCTGCTGCAGCAGGGCCAAACACATACCTGCCTGCCTGCAGGAATAGCTGCGGCCCTGAGCTGGATTCCTCCCATCAAAGGGAGCATTCATAAAGGAACAGGGGAAGGGAAAAAAAAAAAAAAGGGGGAGAGGCAGAAACACGGAAAGAAAAGGAAAATTCCAAATTGAAAACAGAAGGAAAAGTCTCTTTGAAAGACATGTTCGGGTGCACAGCGGCCACAAAAATCTGGCTGGCTTCCCTTAGGAATAATAAAACCCCCGAGTGTTCACAACCAACAAATAACCCCTTTCCCTGCAAAACTTCCTGGGTTTTTTTCCCTGCAAAACCTCCTCATCCTGCATGATTTTTAAGCCAGTCTTTCCACCAGCATCCAGAAGCCCAGACTGCTTGAAGAGCCCATCTCTTGCAAAGCTTTTATTTGCCTTCTGGGTTGTTTTTTGGTTTGGGTTTTTTTTTTAAGCCCTTGGGTTTGCCGTTTGTTTGCAGGGTGACGCTGAGGGTCACACAGCTCCTGCAGACCCCCCCCCCCGGGTTGGATCCAGCTGGGTCGGTTTCGGTGGTGCCACAGGGATGTGGCTGCTGATGGTTTGTGCTGCTCCAGTGAGGGGTCCCGCCTGCTCCACGCTTTAATACCTTGAGGAGAAGTAATTTTGCTCCCTTGTATAGATTTCTTATTACTTCGGCTGCCGTGGGACAGCTTGGCAGGAGCCTCCTATCTCCCCACTGGGATTGGAATGGCCGAGTTGATATTTGTAACCAAAGTTTACTATTCCTCTGCCTCCGAACGGCTCCGCTGGGCTCAAAGCCTGGGCATCACCCTCTCCTCTCTCCATCACTGCAGCGCTGGAGCTCTTGGGCCCCTCGCTCGCTGGAAATACTCCAGTGGGTTATTTACCCGTGACAGGGCTGTCACGGCCGTGGAAAGGGGATTTTTCTCTCATCCCTTTGGCCGTGCCCCAAAGGCACATTTCCAACACCATCTGGGCTGCCAAACCTGATGCCAAACCATCTCTCCCCAGCGGCTCCCTGAGCTCTCACCGACCTGACGGAGAATCGGCGGCGGGGAACGCGTCTCTAAAGCCCCCCACGGTTTTCCCGTATTTACACGAAGCGGAAAAACATTCTCTTGGGGAAAAAAACCCAAAACAAACCCAGAAGTTTTCCTCCCTTCGGAGCTATTTCTGCAGTGACTTTCCTGCGTGTCTTTCTGGGTGTCTCCCACCACTCCCCCC